TTGGCTGGTTGTAGTCGGAGCTGCATTCTTGGGAATCTCCTCTGCCATGGCGCGCTCAGCTCTGGGCCCCATCTCCAGCGGCCATGCGGTGCTGGAGGAGGAGGATGGAGGGGAGGCAGGCTGTCCTTTGCGGGAGGAAGGAACTGCCTGAAGAATTCCAGAGTGAAACACGATCTCTCGGCTTCCTGCTGCAGCGCTGGCTCCTGCTCGGGGATTAGAGGCTGGCGGTGGGTCGGAGGCTTCGCATTGCTGTGTTGCACACCAGCTGAGGCGGTGCCAGCAGCCTGGCCTCCTCCTCGGCGAGGCCGCAGGCGACCGCCAGGTCTGGCGTCTGAGTAAAGATCCTGTCAGTGTATTTCAGCCCAGGAGCTGAGGAGGGGAAAGCCTCTCTGATGCGTGTTCTTCTACGGCTCTGTTTTAGTGGGCTTTGTCCGTGTAGTTGGGTTTCCCCCCCCTGTTGAATAGGGCAATAAAATTTCCGTCTTGGGGGGCTGCGTGTCCTCTGATATTCAATAAAGGATGCACTGCCTGTCTGCGGAATATCCCTACCAGCACCCCGCTCCGTGCGGGGCAGGGAACTTCTGACGTCATCTAACACGTAGAGTGGGTTTAGTTTCACCCTTGGCAGACACTGGAGCTCTGCAAGCACGGTGCAGCAGCAGAACAAGCTCTTCCCTTGTCCCTGCCTGCTCTGCAGCCTGCTCAGGCGCCGACCCCTCTTCTGAGAGCACTGGTCAGAAGAAAGGCAGGGGAGATGTCCAGTGCTAAACCAGCAGAAGAAAGAAAAGGCTTGTGATGCCGAGCCTGGGCTCTGGGACCCCCCACCTTGCTCAGTGACCGCCAAACACCCCGAGATGGTCGCAGCCGCTTTGGCCTGGCTTTTATTGCCGGTCCTCAGCCTGGTTCATGAGCAGCCCCAACTCTGGGTGCCGCGGCGAGGGGAAGGTGTTTGTTCCTCCTTGTGCCCAGGCATTGCCATCCGGTGAGGAGGCTGTGGCCGCCTCGGGGCTGGGGTGTGAAGGGGTCTGTCTGGCAGCAGGCACGGCCGGAGACCAAGGGCCCTGCAGAGCGAGATCCCGGGCGCTGGCACAGCTTGTATGCCAAGGTCAGGTGGAAAGCAGCAGTGCAGCAGTGGAGTCCAAAGTATGAACACGTTGGTCCAGCGCCTGCCAAGCACAGAAGTGCTGCTTGCTCCCTCTGCGCTCTGCCACGCTCCTCGGCTGCCCTCGAGCCCTCTCCGAGATGGCAGCAGAGACGGAGGGGGTCTGGAGCATGCTGGCTGGGCTGTCCTCCCTCCACGGTGGCTTCTGCTGGTCTGAACTGGCAGGACGTCTTTTGAGCTTTGTGGAGCTTGGTTTTAAGCCTTCTCCTTCGTAGGATACGCTAACGGCAGCAGCTCGGCTCAGCAGCATCTTGTGCGCGAGGGAGCTCATCCAGCTGTAGCCCGAGAGCTGAGGCTGTTGCTGAACTCCGACGTCTCCTTCAGCCCCGTAAATCTGCGGGGTTTTGTTGTGCCGTATAAACCAGCCCCAGCTTGCACAGACTCTGCCAGCTGAAATTTAGTCTAGAGATTCACGATAACCTGAGTGGCAAAACAAAAGTTTCTGGGCAGGTAATGTCTGACCCGCTTGCCAGTCATTTTCCTTGGCAGAAAATATGTATTTTACTGGAATAAAAAAGGGCTCAGGCTGTGGAAGCTCCCCGGGCGGCAGGGTGGGGTTTTGGGAGGCTGAGGTGGTTTCAGGCAGTCTGGGTCCCATTGCCAGCGGCTCTCGGTGACGGCGTAGCTGCTTATCAGGGGTAACAGACGGGCAGATTTGGAACCTGACCGTTTGGTCGGTCGAAATCAGTGCAACGTGTTCAGCATGCTCGGCTGCCTGCGCGGACTCCTTTGGAGCAGAGGCTGATGGCGAGGTCGGGGTGCTAGAGGCCTCTATATTTTTCTTTAACGAAAAATCCATCCCGCGTCCCCTTCCCGCATGAGCAGATGCTCGGTTTGTGCCTCTGCTCGCAGGGCTGTGCAGTAGCTCGGGAGCTTGTCTGTGGGGCTGGGACGTGCCAGTGTGACTGGTACCAGCCAGGAAGCGTCCGGAGAGCATTTGCGAGGACCGGAGGTGATTCTGACAGAGCCGCCTGCCCCGCAGCAGGGACGAGGTGCGCGGCCATCCCCGACCCTGGGTCTGCCCGCCTGCGGTGCTCTTACTGGTCCGAGCTGGGTTGCAGCGGGGAAGCAGGGCCCCTCTGTGGTTTTTGGCTCTCCAAAGCGTTTCGTTTCAGCCTGGGGGAAGCGCCCGGCGTGTTGGCAGGGCTGCTTCTCCTCTGCGGTCCCCCGCCTTCCCCGGGTGCTGCGGCCTTTGCGGCAGGTAGCCTGAGGCTGGGTCGGGCTGGAGACTTCTCCTAGCTCTGCACCGCTGCTGCCACTTCCCAGCAAGCACAGGACATACGTGCAGGCATTTTGGACTGTCCAAACAGCTCTAGAAGATAAGGAAAAAAAAGAACATTTTCTGGGTTGGTGAGTTAGATAAATATCCCAGAGTGCACATCCGTGAACCAGCAGAGAAATGAACGTGGGGAGCTTGGTATCAGGGACTGTGACTCGTATTTAACTCGGATTAACTATTTATTAACTTTTATTTTATATCAGCAGTGCGCTGTCTCCCTCCCGCTGCCACGCAGCCCTGCAGATGCTTTCTGCAGCTCAAGGCAGGGTTGAACTGAGCTGAAGGGCAGGGCGGCGAGGTGAGGAGAGGGGGGAGAGCGGGTTGAGGGGGGACGCTGGGGACTTGCAGAGGAAGAACAAGGCGTGGAGCCGCTGCCGTAGGAGGAGGCTTCGTGTTTGGCGGCAGGCTGGGGACGGGCAACGCGTGGGAGCAGCGAGGTTAAGACGTGGTGTGCTGAAAAGAGGGACGAAGTGTGGGTGGGATCAGGCGAGGTCTTGGTGGAAGTGGTGAAATAAGGTGCTGGGGAGACAAAAAGGCCGAAGCCGTGTGTCAGAAGGGCGTTGTGGACATGCAGTGGCTCCTGCTGGAGAGGGCCGTTTGGATTTTCGGCTGGCAGGACCAGCCTGGCCCATCTCTCCAGGTGTTACCTCCTTTGTACTGCCTGTTTTCTCCAAAGCAGCGTTCCTGCCCTGTGCTTTGCCTCTGCGTGCGTTTGCTGCCTGGCAAAGGCAAACCTAACCTCGACGTAAACATGTGGTTCTCTCTCCTCTTTTAGCAGCGTCGCCCGTAAGCTGAAAAACTGGCCAGCACAATGGGAAAAAAACAGAACAAGAAGAAAGTGGAAGAGGTCTTAGAGGAAGAGGAGGAGGAGTATGTGGTGGAGAAGGTCCTGGATCGGCGAGTGGTAAAGGGCAAAGTGGAATACCTGCTGAAGTGGAAAGGCTTCTCGGAGTAAGTGCCTCCCTGCCTGCCGCTGCGGGTGGGTGCGGGGCTGCTCTGGCGTGGGCAGCTCT